GCCCGTCGGAGTCGGAATCCGACGCAGCGTGCCGTCGAACTGGGCACGGAATAATCACAAGCTCGCCAACACATGCAGAGGCGGGAGCGGCGGCGACTGGCGCAAAACGATGGCCATCTTGTTGTCAGTCTGGGATTTCACGTGACGCCCGGCAAGAGTGTGTGTGTGTGCGCGCGCGTGTGTGTGTGAGTGTGTGTGTGTGTGTGTGTGTGTGTGTGTGTGTGTGTGTGTGTGTGTGTGTGTGTGTGTGTGTGTGTGTGTGTGTGAAGACATTTTAATAGGGCAGTTTGCTAGTTCCAAGTGCTTGAAATGTTGGGCCAGTCCACCACCCTTTGGAAAATTAACCTCGAGAATATTGGCAGCGACAAAAAGAGCGATAGCTGCAAAAATTGGCAGATTTAAAAAAAAAAAAAAATTATCTGTTGTAAAGTTCAATACTAAACAGCCAAATGCTCTGCGTGCGATTCCTCTTTTGAGTTGTACATGTTCAATGACCCCCAAAAGATATTTTTAAATCATTGGCAGATGAATCGTTAATTGGAATTTTATTCTGCCAAATATTGGACAAGCGCGACAAAATTTCCCTTCCAAAAAAAAAAAAAAGATACTGTATCTTTGTTCATCTATCTATGCCCGAGACATATAGTGACAGTCCTGTCTATCCATTTGTTATGAAAACAGCAGACTAAATACTGTCGCTTTGTTCCACCAAACAGGATTTTAACCCCTTCAGGGACGACGATCACTGCAGTGGACAGTTTATCATGTTATCTGTTTACAGGGTGCATGGAAGGGTTCACTGGAGTAAATAAATTACAATTGCTAATGATTAAATTGCTCATAATTGATATGATAGGATCTTTTTATTCCAATTTTTGGTGGGATTTTTGAAATTGTTGAACTGGGTAGGTGGCTCGTCGTTGTGTCTGATGGAGGTAAGAATCCCAGTTTTTGAGTTTTGACCAATCAGACCTGCTGAAACGTGTCACATCTCACTATTTTGACTTGTTATCGTCTATCAAGGGTTTTTAAAAAAAAAACATTTTTAAATTCTTTTTACTTTGAATCTTGAGGCGATATAATGCTGTGAGGCTCCTGAGGCATGAGCAAGAGATTCGAATTGTCCGGTACTTCTTGCACCTCCCCCTGGTTGTCAGTAACATGTATTTATTTATTTATTTTTTTAACAAACCCCCCCCTAGAGTTGTATCTTGTTTTTGCTAAACGCACAGAGCAGTCGATCCACTGTTGTGCTCTCCCTCAACATATTTGAATCCAACCCGAGAGCACGCCTCTGGTGCAACATTTAATCTCCCCTACTAAAATTTGATGGTACCCAGAGCAGCAGGCCACTTTTTTTTTCTTTAATATATTCAGTTTGACCTTTATTATTATTGTGCGTGCGCACATTTTTGATATGATATGCAGGCCTGTCATTTTTTTTTTTTTTTTAACATAAAGTCACAGGCGGCAATAAGTCAGTCTCGAAATTTAGCTCGGGGATAAGAAGGCAGACTTCAAAATATGGAAATCGGAACAGGTAAAGGTGGTCGAGCACGCCCTTGAGCAAGACGCCGACTTGGAAAATGGTGACAGACGACGTTATTTACACTTGAACCGTACAAACCCGTACAAAGCGAACGGTCGGCGCGAGCGCGATTGAGTTTGTTTACAGTAACCCACCGCGGGGCAGCTTTAATAGGGGGCTTTATTACCTCTCCCTATTTAATTGGAAGGCGTTTCTGTATCAGCTCCTGTGCAACGGCGGCGCTAATGTTATCCTGTAATTACAAGCCTTTATTTATTGAACAGCTCCCATCGGGTGGTGCGATGTTTAGCTCGAAGAAGATAAGGAGATTGTAAGGAATGGCATTTGGGGAAAGGCTCTCCAGTGTCATATGTCCAAGCGGTATGAATCTGTCCTCTATTTGTCTGATGCACGTGTAATTCAAGCCTGCACGGTGAGGAATGGTTCACAGTCAGAACTCATGGCGGGGTCGAGGCGAGGGGGTGTCAAATAATCCATCTTGTTGCTAATTAGAGACGTCTCACTTATACGTGCATCACCTCCGCTCTGGTCAGTGTGCGCTTGCGGGTATCTGTTGCTTCTCAAATTCCCCGATAACCAAATATAACATCCTTGAGGGCATTGACAGTCATGGGTAAGAACTAAGATCCAACGCAAAATTTTGAGTCCATTTTCATTCATAATATTTCGAATTGTGGTTTGAAGCGGTGATGAGCCAGAAAAAAAGTATTACAGTTTGGAGGAAGCCTCCGTCAGCAGTGCCTGATTTGAACTCGCTATCCCAAAAAAAAACCCAACAGAAAAAAAAGAAGAAGAAAAAAAAAAACTCCCATTGTTGCGTGTAGCAATTACCTGAAATGAAACTACGAAGCATCATGGCTTTATGGCGCGTCTGTAATGAAATTTCTTTTCCCAGAGAATCGATGAGCCCCCCCCCCCCCATGGTAGACTTTGTAATTACGAAAGCCTCATTAGATTATAGTGCCATGCAACATATGGTAAGAGAGGAAATTCTTTTCATGTTCTTTTCTAATGACTGCGACGAGGATTAAAAAAAAAAAAAAGGCTCGATAATTGCTTGCCTTTACATAACTTTGATGTCTCCAATGAAATGTCGAAGTTTCCTGTCACTCGGGACACGCTGCGCACTTTTGTCAGCTGCTCGCATGGCAATGGTCAAATTGAAGATCGAACTGAATGAATTTGGAGGCATGTGCGATGACTTTATGCACATACAGTCAGCTAGCATGAAGAAAATGTGCGCTTATTTGCGTGTTCAAATCCAAAAGACCCGTACATTTGTCGCTAATATGTCTCTTCTGTCCTGCGCCGATGCTAAGCTAATGTCCATGCTTTCCATGACCTTTGAAAGGGCAGTAGCCTTTACAAACATGACCGCCACATTGATGCGCTTTTTTCGAGTCTACTCTGAGTCTCTCTTTGACAAAGAGAGCAGTCATAGCTATAAACACCTGACCAGTCTGTCTGTCGCTGGACCACAGCACCATTTCTCGGTCAGTTGTGGCCAACTCTGGAACGAAGAGACTTGGAAAGGTTCTGTTCAATGGGACATTTTGAGTAGACAGGACATTATTTTCTGTCCGTGGAATCCTGTTTCCTGATCCGTTAAATCGAGGTTCCACTTTATTAATATTGACGGCGTGATATATTTACTTACATGTGAACTTTTCTGGACTTTTGAAATTTCACCTGTCAAGGCTCTTTTGGGTCATTTCATCCAAAAGTCGAATATCACTACCCTTTTCTGAATAGGATAGAAAAGGCAGCCAAGTTGCAGCCACGTTAATAAGCAGACTCAAACAATGTCGTGATTTTTCTCATGGAAGAATGTGAAAGCGAGAAAAGTGCAACTGGACAGGAGAGATGGAGGATTATGGCATCGTTCTAGCTCATCAAGTACTACTTATGACACTAATTTGTGTGCTTTTGAACTGACGGGAGTCGCTGTTAATTTAGCGTTTGATTGAGAAGTTGACTGGAGAAGCCCCCCCGTCCTCTTCCCCCACCAACAACATGCCATGTAGCTGCAGGCAAAACAACCTGCTGCGACTAAACTAGAAAGCCATTTGTTTTCAAAATGGAGCCCTTTCACCGCTTCATCAGCGAGTCATTTCAGAGCGCTTTTCAGGAGGATCAATGTGCCCTCCGGGGGAAAAAAAAAAAAAAAAAATAGTCATTTTTTTCAAAGGATTGATTCATTTTTAAAGAAAATATTGGGCTCACGGGAGGTCAATGTGACACTGGCAGGATGGCGCTCCGCTGGTGGAAGGCAGACAATTTCCTCTGGAGAAACTCGGATACAACGGGGATGATAGTGTGTGCATTTCAAATCGACTCACTCCCCATCCAGGCGGCGGTGGTGGTGGCGGCGGCACATTTTTTTTTTTTTTTCTCTGAAGAGCTGCAAACCTACCAGATTTGATATCATGGGTGTCCCCTCTGAGGTGACAAGCTGGTAAAGCTTGGGCTGTTTGCCGTGACAGGAATGCAGCTGATTGAACTCAAACGGCTCATCCCCGGGATTCTTCCGCAGCTGTCAAAAAGTCTCAAAGTTGCGCGGGTGACTTTCAATTTCACAAGAGGACACATGCGCTATTTTTAAATGCAGCATTTACGCGGCAATTGGCAAACACGGCAGGGACGCCGCACAAAATGAGGTTCCGTGGAACAGAAATAGCGGTCAACTGGATACGGGCTGAAAATGTCTTTCAAGTCCCCGTAAAGTGAAAAGAAATACTTGGTTGAATGATGAAAAAAAATGCCAGGTACAGAGAATGAGGCTTTAACATCATGAAAAAAAAAACAAAAAAATTTCACCGCTCCAGAACACTGGATGTGCTGAAACCACGCCCACTTCAACTGTCAATCAAATGCGACTACTTTCTGGGAAGACAAGGGCTACTTCAAGTAGCATATTTTTTTATACCTACTGCTAGCTACATTTTGTAGTCATAAAAATCTATCCGGTGACAGAAATAAAATGTGAGCGAGCTCATGGCTGACAACGAGGCGTTCTAACAGACACGACAGCCTGAAGCCCCAGTCCACACATTGACTGTCAAGTCAGACTCCCCCCCACCCCCCTTCTTTTTCTCTCTGACCTGCATGCACTCATGGCTGACATTGAGGCGTTCTAAAATGGACATGCTGTTTCCTGAACATTTTTAGTTTTTGTGTGTCAGTGTAAAAGATGCTGGAAAGATTTCTTTTTGAGGTTGTGCCTCCGAATAGAGAGCAAACATTTGCATACTGACCCGTTTCCTGGAGGGTTGCTTGTTAATTTATTTCAGTTATTTAGGTTGGAGGGCAGGGGGGTGAAACTTGGAATCTGCATTGAATGATTGGCTATTTTAGTCATTGAATATAATGAGTTACTATTTTTCAGGCAACGGTAATTATCCAACCCACTCGCATTTAGAATATGTATCTCAATACTCAAAAATGCAAATCATTAATGACACAACCACAGTTTATTACTGATGTCATCACTTACTCAGACAATGTCGTATTTGGGTTGAAAAACAGTCATATGAATGTTCTGAACCACTCAATGGATTTTTTCTTTCATTTTTTTTTTTTTTTTTAAATGTCTCAATAATTTGACTTGAACCCCAAGTTCATTCAGGGTGGAAAAATCGCAGAAGCTGCCAGAAATTTGATTTTTCCAAAGACATAGGACAAAAAAACTACTTTCTGCTCGCTGCTGCGGGCTGCTGGTAAAGATAGCAGATGCAGCTATTACTGCACAGATGTGCAATTTTTTTTAAATTTCTAAGTTATTTTCAAATGTAGAATGGAAGCATGTCGCAAGACGACATCAAACATTTCAGGTAGAGACTCGTCAGTGTGGTTGTGTACTTGTTTGAAAGTCCTCCTGAATATCTGCTACTCGGGCTACGGTACGTCTTTTTCATCACGCTACTTTGTTTGGTCAGCAACGGTGCTCGCCGTCGTCCGGCCGATGAAACAAAACCTGTCAAGGAACGCTAGATTCGAGAATTGAACATTTAGGCAGAGTTCAGCATTGTAATCCACTACAAGCAGTACGGGTATGAGAGCAAATCCGGTCGTCTGCTAAGGCTTCTTTCCAAAAAAAAAAAAAAAGTCCTCTTATTGGAATCCACTTCTCTGATTGGATGGCCAATACAGTTCATGAGGCCTTCAGTTTGCCGAGGATTCACTGCAGTTTATTTACAGAAAAGTTCTTTGCAATCAGCCTCTTCTCGTTTGAGTCACCTGTGATGGGAAAACGTGACACGTTAAAAGTGAACGACGCGGACGGTATTTTGGCAAGTTAGACAAAATGTCAGCGGAAATGATGATCTACCACTTTGGTTCTCAATCGAAGCTCCGTGAGCTGGAGCTACTTAAAAGCTTGATAGAATTGGGACTGTACCCCAAAAAATGGCACACAAGCATGAATAAAGTCATCTTCATGGGAATGTTTGTTTTATTCATTTATTTTTTTTTCTTACTTGTAAAAATATGACTTCCTTCCATCATTAAATTTTGACTTTGTAAAATTTGACTTTATTGTTTTGGTTCTTTTCAGTCTGACAAAATGTTTCAATAGGTAGGACTATTAGGATATGTGGCTTATATAAACTGAATTTTAAATTTAAAACATGTGAGTGCATCAAGTTGAACCAAATTTATTTCCCCCCCAAAATGAAATAAATAAATAAAATAATAAAAATAAAAATTCAGGCTCGGTGGTCGACTGGTTAGCACGTCAGCCTCACAGTGCAGAGGTGCGGGGTTCGATTCCAGCTTTGACCTTCCTGTGTGAGGTTAGCATGTTCTTCTTGTGCTTGTGTGGGTTTTCTCCGGGTACTCCAATTTCCTCCCACATTCCAAAAACATGCGTGGCAGGTTAATGGAACACTAAATTGTCCCTAGGGGTGAGTGTGAGCGCAATTGGTTGTTCGTCTCTGTGTGCCCTGCGGTTGGCCGGCAACCGGTTCAGGGTGTCCCCCACCTCCTGCCCGAAGATCTGTCTCTTGTCTCCAAAAGGGGTTGTAGGCAACTTTTTCAATGCCATTGTCATTCGGGGGTGCGGATTATAAGGGATCCATGGACCCACATAGACTGCGGGCATAGCAGAAAGTTTACCCAGTGAGTCGAGCTAAGGAACGTGAGGAGCGATACAGAGTTAAGATTCGACATCCAAGAAGTTTTGAGACCTGAGCCCACAATTAGTGACAAAATGTTGGCAAAGCAGTAAAAAAAATAAATAAATAAAAAAATAATTGACATTCTTTAGCTCTTGAGGCCATTTAATATTCTTCCAGTTGACTTTTTCATGCTCTCTAAAGAGAGACGAGAGCATCGTGTGAGTGGAAGGTGAAACAAACAGCCACCCGGATGGAATTCTCATTTTCCCTTTGTGCTTTGAATTCGGAGCCATCCCTAAAGAGGATCAGCAGCATCGGCAGAGCTGAACTTAACGACCTCTGTTTCCAAGGTGGGAATGTTTGCCGCGCTTCGGATAAAGATGCCGCTAAGTTGAACGCGTGCGCTCCCGACTTGAAGTTTTACAGATTAAATTGCCTGTCAGGCCGTCTGAGTCGGCTGACTGGCAGCTCCTTTGCTCTCGCTGGAAAAGAACATTCTGGTCGCGTGCCGAGCAACCTTTCGCGACGGCTCCTTCCATCGAGTCAAACCTCCTGACAGCTGCCATCAACAATTGACCGACTCTAAGTCAGCGTCCAATTTGTTAGGGATGCCCAACTTTGCATTTGGACATTTTTTTTGGGGGGGGCTGACTTGTGAGAACAGGTTTTAGTTTAAATTTGCTTAAAATGAGCTTTTATTGGTTGACTGATGTCACAGAACAACCAAATTACGATATGTACACCAACGCATCGCAAACCAAATTCCATATTTTAAACGGATGGATCAGGTCATCCATCTGGAGAAAAAAAGTTCAAATGTGTCACAAAATTATATTTTAACCCTTTCATGCACCCTATAACCTGATAAGCTGTCCACTCTAGTAACCACTGTCCCTGAAAGGGTTAACAATAAAATTACGGTTAATCAGAAATCACATTTATAATTGCTTTATGAACCAATGATTCAAGAAAATAAAACACTATCTCGCTATCGCGTTTAATTAATACATTTTCGGAAAAATAATGTCATGCAATTTATGAAAATAATTCCTGCGTGATTTTCATTACAATTAAATTACAAACATATATTTCATAGATGCAAACGATACATATCAATAATTTATCCATCCATTTTCTAATCCTCTTAACCTCAAGAGGGTCGCGGGTATGCGGGAGCCTATCTCAGCTGTCTTCGGGCAATCGGTGGTGGACACCCTGAACTGGTTGCCAATCGCAGGGCACACAGACAAAAAAACATTTGCGCTCACAATCGCATCTCGGGACAATTTAGTGTGTTCCATTCGCCTGCCACGCATGTTTTTGAAATGTGGGAGGAAACCGGAGTACCCAGAGAAAACCCACGCAGGCACGGGGATAACATGGAAACTCCACACAGGGAGGCCGGAGCCGGGATTGAATCATACACCTTTTTTTGGGGGGGATTCAGAACCAGATTTATTGACCAAGTATGTAACAACACAAGGAATTTACTTTCCCAGTTACAACTTGTCCAGAGGAACTGAAACAGAATGGAAAAAAAAACCCAAAAAACTAACCAAATATGTAGTGAGATAAATAAAAATGCACTGTATGTCCTTTAAATTAATAGATATATCTAGCTGAAATGAATCAAAGTTTGGCTGCCTCTGCCAATCAACACATGATGTGATCAAATCCAATGTTACATTTGTAAAATGATTTCTTCTGTTCATATTTGAAAAGACGTTTATTTTTAAACTGTACATATTTTTTTTATTTTGTATTTTTAAAACACCTTGTTTCTGTTTGCTCAACTGAGTGCACAGTGAATATTTTTTATTGCCATTAAATAACATGTTATTCAATTCGATACATGAATTTAAAAAAAAAAAAAGTTTAACGAATCAATTTGGGGTAAACCGGTTAATTTATTGAATGCAAAATATTCCAGGAATGGTAACGCAAATGCTTGGTGAATTGTATTGAAGAACCTCCTTTGCCAAACCCCGACGGAAACGATATGCTCAGATTGTCCACACAGTCCGCTTGCATCGGGGCCCACGTGGAGCCGATCATTGTCTTGAAAATACAAGTAGTGTGTTGGTGAACATCAAATATTGTTTTGACTAAGACATTTAAATCCTAAACTGTGTCTGTGATGAACGTGGCGCTAATTTGCGAGTAATTTGCGGCTAATCACGACGAAGGGCTGAGATGCTAATCTTGAAGTAGTGATTGTGAGCTGGGTCTCTTCAAGAGGGGCGCAAATGATTGCAACAGTACTTGAGTGATTATTAAATAAAAATACAAATAGAGGAAAATCATTTTTGCAGGGTTATAATTGGCGTCTGACAGGTGCTAAATTAACGCGTAAAGGGTTATTTCCCACACTGTGTCTGAAGTGTGCTCGGCTGCAAGATTTAACACACAAGGTGTGGAGCACGCTGTTTATGCTGTCGAGTCGTCGACAACACCAACTGGGTTTATGATAATAAAGTCGGTTTAAAGATGCAGGCAGGATTATTAGGCCATAATGCACCTGGAATATCAGCAGGAAACGGAAAGCTGGAAAACCGCCAACTCATCTCTCCCCGTTGTGTGTCTGTAAAAACTTAATGGGTGATGTGAGTGATTCAAATATGCAGAAGTACAATTTTTTTATGTCTGTTTGTTTTGTTTTGTTTTGTTTTTTTTTTTGTGCAACAGACCAGTTTGGCAGCCAGGCACAGAAACAAATAAAACCAAATGATTAAAAATACAACTCATCATCGCTAATTGTAGTTTTTGCACCGGCACAGTTGTGAAACCCGCGCAAGCGGAGAGTATAAAAAGATGATGGCGGCGGATGAGGATTAGAATTATTTACTTTTATCGTGTTTAGATACCGTTTTTGTATCATTGTGGCATGAAAGATGAAATAGTTCAATCGATGAGGCCGCCGATTATGTCACATTATTATCATGTGATTTATGACTCACTGACCGATTTATGACAGATTTATGTCTCCGTGTTTTGTGCAACACTTTTTCGGTAGAATTTCACGTCAACGCTTAAGACAACAAGTGTTGAGTAAATTAACACCTCAACCTGAAGTTTATATTTTTTAAAATCATGAATTCATTGTTCATTTTCCGTTAATTTAGCCGAACCTACAAGACCAAAACGTCAATGTTTAATCAATCGGAACTTGTTTATTGTAAAACAGATACATTCATTGACTTTGGTTTGTTAAGAATATACATGGGAAGAGGAACAAATAGCAGCCCTCATGAGAATAGCGGTTCGCAAGCGGAATCGCTGAAGCTAGCAAGGCTAACGGCTATTCCCATTCACCGCCAGCATGTTTTCTTACTCTGACTCACACAGACACATTGGACATTTTGTGCGGCCGAGTCAGAAGTTCTCCCTATATTAGCCGAGATGTCAAAAATATAGATAAATAATAAAATATCCAGTGGATATTGTAGCAGAGCGCATCTGCATTTTCACATTCAGGTTAACTCAGTCGGAAATGCTGATCGCGGGTTGTTTTCACACTTGATGTTTTAACACCATTTTTTTAACTGTGACGTGCCATTATAAATATTACAAGGTATGTCAATGAGCCAATATAACAACAACTAAAAAAGATGTCTCACCTGTGGAGTCCCCGGTGAAGAATGTGATGTTACCAAAGTTGATCCCTATCCGCGGAAATCTTCCCCATCATCCATGTTAAAAAAAAAAACAAAAAAAAAAACCACAACACATTCATTCAGACTTTTCTCATCAGCTCAGTCGAATTGCAAACCTTGTTTCGGCAGTTTCCGTGACAAAAAGTCTACTAAATATGTATCCCATTTTGAGGTCCCGACAAGTCCCTGAATCAATAGCCCCAGGCTCCAGGCTGCCAGCTCCAGGCAGGTGTGGTGTGGACACTTTAAATAATTAAGTACACATGCAGGGAGGCAGAAGCAAAGTCTATGGGTCATCATAACACACTGAAGGATACGAGCGTCATGTTACAACCTTAAAAGCAGGTAATTGGAGCGAGTAATTGGCCAGTTTGGGTGATCAAAGTGTCTCGAAAGTGCTAAGGAGACATGGCAGACCATTGATTCGAGGCCCCCCCCAGAGGCCCGACAGCAAACATTAGCTCGTTTTCAACCCGACGCGGACCCGGAGAAACACAAGAGAAGCTTGTTGACTTTGGCCCAAGCGCGTAAGGTCACATTCAACAAGTTAATTCCCGTTAAACAGACGTGTTTGCCACCCCAAAAACTCTTACCTTTGTGGTTTTGATTTTGTTCCCTGTAGCACAGCTCCAGCCCTTCAGATCAGGAAGGACTTTGCATTCTTCGCCGTCAAGGCACGGGTGCATCTGACACCACCACTTCTGCTCCACTATGGAGGCTGGAAGACACGTCCAGTTGCATTCAGTTTTAGCGTAACGAGATTGTGGGTTGCAAGTGAACTGCACACCCTGGACCGTTTGCCAGCCAATCACAGGGCAGATATAAACAAACAACCATTCACGCTTACATTTTCATCTATGGGAAATGTCGAATTTTCAATGAACCCAGCATGCATTTCTTTGGAATTTGAGAGGAAGCCAGACGACTGGATATTGGTCTGTGATGCTACGAGAGTTTGGTGTCCGATATCAAGTGAATACCGGGCCATTACTGACGCTGATATTTGTTCATACTTAACCTTGATACATCATGAAATTGCTAACATTGACTCAATGGCCATGACTGTAAAGTGTTTTGTGCTTTTTAACATCGGTATTAATACTATCTCTCTTAATCAGCACCCATTTTCAAAAATTTCAAATACCAAGATTCAAACCTAGATCGATGAGGCTTGCACACGAACCACAAGTGGGTTCTGAGGTCAACAGACTCAGGTCAATTAGCGGGGCCCAGAGTTCAAAGCCAACATGATGCATTTAGCTGTTATGCTGCACGCAAATGGAATAAACGGTCACGTCTTCAATTATTTTGCATTTAAAATGTTGTTTTGCAGCTATTGCGAAGCACATTGAATTCCCTTGTGTATGAAATGCGCAATGATAACTAAAGCTGCCGTGTCTTAATCCATGGAGCTGCGTTGCCAAAGCCAACCAAAATAAAATAAATATGGACCACTCCATTTCATAAATAAATACATAAATAAATAAAATAAGTCCAAAAGAAAAGAAAAAAAAATCCTTGTAACCAAGAGCTGACATGCCCCCTAGAGCCAGTGACTTGTACTTGTACCACTTGTGGAACTTGAGCTCCCTCTAGTGGTACATGAAAGAATCACTGCCCAAGTTCAGTTCAGTTCAGTTGTATTTCACTTTTTAGCGCAATGCTCCAATATCTAAGTGTCGTGTTGATGTTACAGTCCATAAATTGTACACAATGTGACACTGACTTGCAATCGTATTAATTGTATGAACATTTAGCTACGTCACTGTAGTTTAATGTCAGTCATTATGGTGGTACTCAGTAGTTTTTCTTTTAGGTGGTCAAAAATGGTGTTATTGCTTCAGATAGGTTTTTGGAAAGTCAAAGAAAAGAAGACTATTATTTCTAAGGCTATCATTAAACCACATCTTTTAACCAGAAAAAATAAATGTGGATATTTTTAGCTCTGAAAATCCACCCGCACATTCTGCACAAATGGTTTTAAAGAACCCATTATTTAATTAGGGGCATCTCTGTGTGTCTGAACAGGATGTTTCTGTCAACTGTCTCGCCGAGAGTCGGAATGCGATTTTTGGCAGCTTTTGCTGTCTGAATCCTCATGGCAGGTCACACCATTCGTACACTCGCGCTATCCTGCAAGATGTGCAGCCGCGGTGCGAATACAACAGTCTTGAACACCGAATAAAGCTGCCGCTGCTCCGTTGGCGCTTGGGCCTATTACAGGGGCCATTATCTATATTACACATCCCTTTCATTTAGCGTTCGCAGAGGATGATGGTTGCTATAATCTCCACATAGCACCACATCCTCAATCGAGTAAATTGCAGCGAAATGAATTTGAATCACACCCACTTTATAGCTGCAGCACTGGGGTGGTAAATGTACACAGGGTCAATGGCGGGCAGATGGCCACCAAGGTTCCGCATCAAATGATAACGCCAAAGAGTCCATTGCATGTGTTTCCGTTAATGGTTAACGATGCGAGCACGATGGCTGAAAACATCTGGAACTGTGTTGTTTGTTGATTTGTTTTCAGTCTAGCCGTTAGAGAAGCCCAGGAACGGCTTTGACCTTGAACTCCTTCATTAACGCGACGCGCATTGGGTAATGAGCGGTGGATTATTGAGTTGGGAAAGTGTTTGTTTGGAAGTGCGCGCTCGTCCGTTCGGAATTAGACACGCGGCTCGGATGTGGTGAATATGCAAGCGAGGTCACGATTCCGTTCATATTTTCGCAATGTAAAGGAGCCGAGGCACTATTTTTGAAGCAGAATTCAAATCGGTGCAAGTCCTCTGAGATGAAGGCTCATGTGATGATTTATCAGGAGGAGGCTTGTCTCACACCGAGCGCAGTTAAAGGTAATTCTATCTTGGAGAAAAAAGGAATAATTAAAAGGTTAAGTGCTGTGGTCACTTTTGCCGAGAACGCCCGCCGAGCGCTAAACTGAGGGCCGGTATCTCGGAGCTCTAATTTGCAGAAAATGTCAATACTAAAATGTCAAGGAATAGGTCAAACACAATTGGATCCGGAGTTGAGAACGAAAGCTCGACCAAAGCAAGTCATTCGCGACTCGTGCTGAGCTTGAGGTCGGACACATTAGTATGTTAAGAGACACAGTTGTCATTAAAGGGAACCGTTAAAAGGCTGATATAGTATTGCCAGACATTCATTCATTTATTTATTTCATGAGTTTATTTATTTAGTGGGTTTTTTTTTCCCGGTAGTTATAGCTGCTGGATCTGTTGGACCACTGCCGCACTAACTGCTCGTAGACTAACGACCGAGTGCTTAAAATTTTTTTAAACAAATAAAAGAAAAACTCTTCAACTTGGCAATACTAGAGCTGCATAAAATAACTAACATATCCACACAAAAAAAACGCCACACACTTAAAAAAAAACAAAAAACAAAAAAAAAAAAAACACTGGCCAAAGTAAAAATTCATCCTCGAAGCTTCGCATTTTTTTCATTTGGAGAAATGTTAATGTTCCCAACTCATTGCCAATAGATCAATTAATTGCACATAGTCTCCCGTCACGAGTTAAACATATAGTACTGACCTTGCAAGCGGTAAGCGGTAAGAAAACAAACACATAAAAAAAAAAAGGATAAAAAAACAGCCAACCACCTCTCCACACTCATTCTTTGACACCCACGTCACTCACCAGACTAGAGCTGCCTTTTTAAGCCATATAGCCTACGGTAGCCTGCACATACTCTGTTTGATAATCGGATTACCGTATTTTCCGCACTATAAGGCGCAACTAGTCATTAAATTTTCTTTAAATCCGAGGATGCGCCTTATAATCCGATGAGCCTTAAATATGGATCAAAACTATGAATTCTTCGACATCGTATTTTAACTGTTATGTATTTTAGCTGCTTTGTTACAGCTGCAGCGGTTGTGAAAGTTATATAAATAAAGCTGCATTGTATTGTATTCCCTTTAGCGTAGCACCATCTAGTGGATGCAGAAAGTGACCGCAGCCACCATTGTAGCTTCTATTCGATGCACTTTATAATGCGGTGCACCCTACATATGAAAACAGTTTTAAAATAGGGCATCCATTGAAGGTGGGCCATATAATCCGAAGCGCCTTACAGTGCCGTAAACACCGTATTTGATTGAACTACCGAAAAATATCCGCTCGGCTATCCATGTGATTGCATTCAAGCGACTATTGTGTACGATTGGCGGGATCTCATCTCAACAACGCATCATCAGCGTCGGACAGATTGTGACAAAATCTTACCGTCGACACAGGAGGGAGCGGCTCTGGTGGTGCCGGCCACTTGCCCCGGAAAACAGGAGCACTTGACGGTTTGCGAGCGCTCCTCAATTTTGTTCTTGTTGCAGCAGCGATGCAAGGCGACCACTTCGCAGGTGCCCGTGGGAACATGCTGCGCCGCTGGAAAGTGGGGGGAAAAAAAAGGAACAATCAGTGTTTAATCCGACGCTGTGCAGTATAAGTCATTACCCCCCATTTGTAACCTTGGATGGAGTCCCATAAGAGCACATCTCTCTCGGTCCTTTACAACAGCTCTTTCATCTCTCTCAGGAAAAGAGACAGCCCATTTTCTTTTAGAGACTCTCCTCTTGTACACGGTTTCCTGGGCGGCATCATTCAATCAAAAATTGCCAGCATCTCTAATTCCCATCGTACTTCCGCATCTTTCATCCGACTGACAGATTGCCCGGGCCTTTAGCGGAGAAATCGAGTGGTTAATCTGCACCTTTTGGAAAGAGCCACAATATGCAATGAAGTCAATTGATCTTAAATGAAGTCGTTCCAAAAATGCTTTGGCGGGCGTGCTGGTGCGGGATGCCGAGAGTGAGGCGTGTGGTCGTTGCCGTGGTAGCGCATTTTACACATTGTGAGCAGAGGTAACAAACATACTCATGTTCCGTATTTAAACTGAAGTACCGACAAATTAGTCCTTCGTGCCGTTTTCCGACCCTCCGCGCGTAGTCACTGCAATCGACATAACCAATCCGTGTTGCACAAATAAACATATTGTTTGTGTTTGATCAAGTCAGCAACTGTGGATCAGAACCGATTCCCCGCCCGAGCGGCGGTCCGATGTGCGAAACGGCCAAAGTGCAGCGCTGCAGAACTTGGAGCCAATTTCCAGATCACGCTCCATTGTCTGAATTATTTAGCGCCTCAGCGGCTCCTTGCTCTATTAACCGCTTGTGACATTTTCATGAGGCGTCCTTCCGAAGATACACCGCGATGAAATGAAGAATCTCGATGCCATCCTAATTGTCTTTTCAATGAAACGGTATTTCTGGCCATTTAACCCTTTCAGTGACAGCGGTCACTACAGTGGACAGCTTATCACAGGGGTCCCCAAACTTTTTCCTGTGAGGGCCAAATAACTTTTCCCTTCTCTGACAGGGGCCGGGTTCGGTTTGTAACAAAAAGTGTGACGATCGCAGGAGGTGTCGAGACATCAACATTTATTGTTTTCCAAAAAGCCACACATAATCGGGTATTAACCTTTTTACGGGCTCTTGACCGGCACAATTTATGAAATCAATAATAACCAATCATTTTTTTCTTTTACCCAATCTTTTCACCATTAGTCAATTTTTTTTTTTTTTTTTTTTTTGACAGGAGTGCATCGCGGATTTTATTTATTCATTTATTTTTGGGAGAGAGGAGTTCCGAATAGGGCACCGACTGCAGAAGGGCGGAATAGAATGTTATGTTCTATGCATCTACAAGTCTCGATCACCTGGTCAGACTTGGAGGGAAAAAAACAAAAAAAAATCTTTGTTATTGTTCAGGGGGCCGGGGAAATGCAGAGGCGCGCCACATTCGGCCCGCGGGCCGTAGTTTGGAGACCATTGGCTTATCAGGTTATCAGGTTACAGAGCGCATGAAAGGGTTAACATCGCCGACCATCGCGAGTGACTCGAATGAAGTCTGCTCAAATATTGCCTCCTGACAATTTTTTTGTACCACCTAACAAATGCGTGGGCCCTTCAACATTTGCATTTCTAAAGGGAATGTCCATGAATTCCCGTCTGTCTTATCGTCGATTTAAACTTCGAGGGAATCGGGGGAGCCTCTGTCACACCGGCTTCCAAACCCGTCTTCGCAAATACATTCAGACACCAGACTGAGATGCTTTTTTTTTGTGTGTGTGTGTGTGTGTGCATCTGTTGGCACCAAAAAGCTGAGTGGGCATCCAAGAAGAGCTCCCCTATCCAATCGGGAACAGCGCGCAGCCTCTCAGCGTGAAGCGCGTCCTTTAGAAAGATTCTGGCAACACTTGTCGAGCAAACATTTAAACCGCTTGACTTGCTCCGGGTGCGTTTGTCTTTCACGCCTTGGGGGCGCGGAGCGTGAATAAGCACTTTGCAACTTTGGAAAGACCACCTTGCAACAAGTTTTGACGTGGGAAGGGGGCGATAACGGGCCCGGCTCGTGATGCCCGTTGTCGACTAATTTTGACACGACGGCCGTTTTCTGTTCACATTTGTAAAACTGCCAAATAACAAAGAGACATCATGGCAGCGTGGCTTCAGACTGCATTTTAATATTGACAAAACGATGCATAAGCAACTCCCATTATTACATTCCAGCACAGCACCGCAGGCTAAATTGTGTCCTATTCTGTGCTGTGAATGCAAAACATTCATCTCGGTCTGACGATGAGAATTTCTCCTCCTCCACCTCGTTTAAGTGAGTTCTTATTTAGGAGTCTGAACGAACGATTCCTCGGCTTGAAGTTCCGTCGCGGTGAAATTCAAATGCTGCCCCGTGAGTCACTGTGACTCATTCTTCACCCACCTTTCCTATTTTTTTATTTTCATTTTGGCACACATTTGATGGCATCCCAAGACGTTCTGATACCCACTGCGAAGGTTTTTTTGTTTTTTGTAACACGGGGCTGAAAATACTGGGCAGATGTGTGCTTCGGTCCCAGGAGAGGGTGAGGAAACTGCAAATGATGCGAACTTTGCGTTGTTCACAGGGACTGATGGGAATGATAATGGAATCATAACCACTGTTTTGTGCCATTTACAACCCTCATGCAGAGAAATTGTCTTTGCCGGCCCTATGAATAATGCATGCTGATATATGCTAATAATGTAGAAAGATGGAGACGCGTGGCTTCACATATACATTTCGAGGTGACAAAATGTTAAAGACGATATTATAGAATGGTAGAAGACAATTGGAGAGGCTGATTCGACCTGTTTTTTCCGAGAAGAGGAATTCTTCATTTCATTCTTTCTTCTCGGGGAACAAATTAATTTGCCGTGTTTTGGATTGGCGCTGGGCTGGTTCCATGCCCTGAATTACAACAGGTTTACAGCCACAGACACAACGCACAGGGGAAATTAGCGGGCCGCGGTGGTTATCAGAGAGAAATAGGATGTGAGATTATCCGCATCCACTTCCTGCGAAAATGATGAGCGCCTTGAGCGCGCGCGTCCCTGCCAGTCAAAGGCGAGCGCATCAAAAGAGGCACGCCGCCGCCTAATTGGTTGACAAAGGGAAGGAGAGGTGCATATCTATCATGCTCGTAAATGGACATCCTGTCCACCAGGAGAGACGCGAGTATGCCACCAATTACACGCGGCCGCGCGTTGTCGGTGCCGCGGCAGAGTGATCAAACATGCGGCTTGGCCTCCATTTGTAGTGTTACCGACTTGCCGTAATTGATCTCGCCGGGTTTACAAAGCTTGACAGCACTTTCAATGAGGAAGGGATTGAGTGGGGTTGGACTCGATACAATTAGCTCAAATTACTGAACGGGGGTTTTTTTTTTTTTTAATTGTTGTTGAGTTGTGCAAAGCACCACTGGTGTGCTCAAAAAGTCTTCGCTTGAAGTCGCTTGGTGATGAGAAGTGATGGATGGCAACTCAACAGGTTCCCACACGAGGGTTTTGTGGTTGACTTTGTCTTTGAACGTCAATGAAGTTGAGCATTTTGGGATCTGTTCATAGTTTGTGCTTACTCATGGATGCTAAGTTAACACGGAAAGAAATCCTTGTAGTTTCATAGCGGTTCTAAAAACCAATCCTTGTATTGTCTGTATTTTTTTTTTCCACTTCATTTAAACCTTTGACTTACAAGAGCTTATAGATTGCCCAGCTAGTGGCGAGCTGAACTGTGACGCTAACGTAGCTTAGCTGTCTTTTTGTTTTTGTATTTCTCGGGGAGGGATAAAGTTTGATGTTGTAGTTGTCTCCTATTTTGGAGCTGTATGCTAAAACCAATCTCTACATTGTCTATTTTTCCCTTTTCATTTAAAACAATAACTGACATGAACTTCTCGTTTGACCAGCCAGTAGTGAAATAAACTGTGAAGCTAACGTAGCTTAGCTGTCTTTTTTTTTTTTTTTTAATAACCGACATCAACTTCTCGTTTGACCAGCTCCTGGTGAGCTAAACTGTGAAGCTAACGAAGCTTCGCTGTCTTTTTGTTTTGGTTTTTATAACTGACATGAACTTAGTTTGACCAGCTAATGGTGAGCTCAACTGTGACGCTAATGTAGCTTAGCTGTCTTTTTGTTTTTGTTTATTTAGGTAATGTCAAAAGGAAATGCCGTCGTCTTTGATTTTTTTTTGAGTTGCATTACCAATCTCTCATCCGAATTAATCATAAATGGAATGTTAGCATCGAACTCTTAGCCTGATCGCATATTTGCCTCAGACATTGTTTAAAAAAAAAAAAAATTAAGAAAAAAAACACAACCTGCAATCTTCATGGATTACCATGACTGAGATGACCGAAAAAAAAAAATTAATAACAAGAAAAAAAAACAACCTGCAATCTTCATGGATTACCATGACCGAGATGACCGGGATTCTAAACAGACGCAAGGAAATAATAAGATCGTGATCGTAAGTTTAAGAAAGACTTTTATTCTTTTAGGCTAACAAAATGTAACCACATTTGGAGGTCCCTTCATGACATTTTCTTCCTGAGGTGGCCTTGCCTGATTTTGCATGCACTGGACAACACATACAAAAAAAAACAAAAAACAACTGTCACACTGTCTTAAAAATGGCCATTCTCAATATGTCAAAGTCTTGAAGTTCAAGTCCTTATCATATCGAATAACACATCGGTCAAGTGGAGTCTTTTGTAAGTTTCCTTCATGACATTTTCTTCCTGAGGTGGCCTTGCCTGGTTTTGCGTATCATATCGAATAACACATTGGTCAAGTGGAGTCTTTTGTAAGTTTTAGTCCATCAATTCCCACATCCTAAAAGCGGCAACTAACTCGAACTAAGCCATGGTGACTTCAGTCCCTCACCTATGCTATATGGATGATATACGATTGGCATATTAATGTCAGCGCTCCATCATCCAAAGAGCAAAACCAACGATGAGCCCTGAGGCCAATTGCTTCCTGCTAATCTTCAAGCATGCGCCCTGAATCCAAAGCTTTATTCGTGGCCCCAGTGTCACATGTGCACAGGCTTCTGAGGCCAAACACATTCCTATTTCACCACATTGTTGTCGGGGACTACTTTCAGATGATTAGCCATTTTGCGGCGCTGCTGTGTCTAATCCCAATATATGTGAAGACTGATTGAAAAATCCTCTAAAGTGCCCTAGCCTTCGATCATAATTAAGGGCAAAGTCACCCCGCTCAACAGTGTGAAGCGATGATGTGTTTTTAATCGTTTAACAATGGACACACTCGCTGCCACGACATCGGGATTTTGACGACCAAAACAATACTTAATGTTACGCCGTACATGGAGAAGCAGCGGGCGGGTGATTACTAGATTAGTTCAAATATAAGACGTGGCTTTTTAATTTCAGGAAATATCAGGCCGATGAGATTCAGCGGTTGGCTGGGGGAGCAAGATGCCAAATGTACTCACCTGTCGAGCTCTCAGACATGTCCCAGAGGCTGATGGCGAGCGCCATGACGAGTAAAAGCCCTTTGCTTCCCACCTGCGCGTGTCGCTCACTCATCCTGGCAAATGGAAACAGTGCGTTAATGGCTTCAAACGGCGTTAATTGTTGACGCTCAGCGACCCCGCACCTGCACACCCGGCGAGCGGCCCGCACTTGCGTACCAACTCTCTGCAATTAAAAAAAACAAAAACAAAAAACTGCGACGCCTTGGTCGCAATAACCTCAAATGATTGACGTCAACATACCAGGCACGTTCTCCGTTAGTGGTTGATGCGTCATGTAACGTTAGCATATCGTACACTTATTCAGCCTGTTATTCTCGATTTTATTTTGATTTTAAATTGCCTTTCAAGATGTCTCTTCTTGGTGTTGGATTTTATCAAATACATTTCCCCCCAAAATCCGATTTATACTCACTCCAGTGCGATTTAGGTTTTTTTCTTATTTAGTATCCATTTTATGACTCATGTTACCTCTACTTCGGAGTGATTTATAATCCAGAAAATCCGGATGTAAGATTATATATACCTGTGAGCATTGTTACGGCGTTTGTGCATGAATATTCATTGGTTGAATGTCAATCCCTCCCGCCATGTCTAATGCTAATTTTTGCTAGCCCGTCAATAGGGTTTCCCATTTCTTGCTAGCTTTAAGCTAGCAGTTTAGAGAAAACAATTGATTCCATCTATTTAACTACACATTTTTTGTTATGTGTTGAGTTTTGCAGTAAATGCCGCGTTCAAGGTGCATATGATCGTGAGAAGCCCAAATCAAAATCACGATTAAATCCCGATGAATTGCGCAGTCCCGGTGCTGTTGAATTCCGGTGACCAAATGAAAGAAGGTCAAGCCTTCGATGAGCTTCACCCGACTCGCCACAGTACCGTCGTCCTCCAAAGTACGTGTGCAGTCCGAGTTGGGCCGCCGCGCATCTGGCACGGCGCGTGTGATCTTTGACGGAGATCTCATTTCAAACGCCCCTCCAGGAAAAAAAAACAAAAAAAAACGGGATGCAGCAACAGTACTGTAATTACTGGAAGAGGCTCGGTGTCGAATGGTGCGAGCGTGCAAAGTTACAAGCGGCGTTGATGCCTTCCTTACCGCCTCCTGCCTCTTATCTCGCCGTGCTCATTGACGTATAGATTGCCCGAGCCTCTGAGGGATTCTCGTGTTATTTGCATACCTAATTACAGTTATTTTGGACAAGCAAGGGAGCGCTATTCTGCTGATTTATTTATTTTTTGATGCGTCTCACCGGACGGCCGATCGAACGCTGTGTTAAAATAGAAAAACAAAAAAGTGTTCTCCGCACGGGAAGGCAGATATCCGTCATGATGACACGGCATTGCAACAAAGGAAGTTTTCTTGGGGATGGGTCAATGCGTTTAAAAACTGCCTAGGCCCGGGCGCAAACACATTTAGCAGAGGTTGGGAAGGGGGTGCGGGGGAGACTGTGGCTGCAGTTCATTTTCCCCGAGATTAAAAATGTATCGGCGCTTCCCCCTCCCCACCCCGAACAGTGTTACACTTCTGTTGTCCTTCCTTCCTGTTGCTCGAAATTGATTTTTTTTTTCCTTTTTCATGCTCTTGGCGTGCGAGAGAGGCAAAAATTCGGATCATTTTCAATACCGTGCACATGACTCCCTCTCTGCTATCCGAGCGGACCTTTCCCTCCAAGCCGTATGTTAAGTGGGATAATAATAAGGGTGTTTTCGCAAATAGCTTCGTATTGGCCACCCGGGAGCGGCGTCGCGCGAGGCAGGTTGGCCGCTGACATTCACCTTCACGTGTACAGATTTATCGCCGAGTGTTTTGCAGCCTGGTCATGGCGCTCGGTCAATGAGAGACCGTGTGAAAAAAGGGTCACCGGTGACAAAGTACAGGCCCGCGCGCGGCGGCATCGTATTGATGGCCGCTATCTTACAGTAAGGCTGCAATTCTACAAATGGCTTGCCATTGTCCCTGAATGGGTCGCGTTGTCATTTGGCGCGGCGGTGGCGTCAGCGTTTGGGGGCGCCGTGGAGCTTGACCTTGTCATACGGATTGCTTTGCAGTAACCCCCCCAAAAAAAACCCCACAACTGGCTAACATGAGCGTTCTTAAAGACGGTCTCACAGAACAAGAAGTGACCCATTCCATAAAAAAAAAAAGAAAATGTCCTTGGGTTTATATCAGACCCGCAACTTGGAAATTAAATTGAGTTTTGATGACTCACTGATGTCCTTGAGCTGAATCGGCGATCTAGCGTAACATAGTAAACATTGCAAGGCCATTCAAAATGAACTCGCTAAACTACATGCTGGTACAGTACACACACACACACACACACACACACACACACACACACACACACACACTGGTAATTATTTCTGATGCTGTTCACATCGAGCGAGCTTTAGAGTAGCATCCTCACAATGTCTTTTTAAAATCATCTTTCTTGCTTTGTAATTTTTTTTTTCAGCAAGGGAGGAAAATAAAATCCAGGGAAAATCCAAAATATAAAAAATTGTGATATTAGAACTTAAAAACTGGTAGTTTGTAGTTGTAATATCACCAATCACCACTAGATGTCAGGTCTTTTTTTTTCTCTTATTTTTGGGCTGATTTGGAATAATTTTCAGGACAAAATAATACCCCAATAATATTTACATTTTGAGTGAGAATATATTTGTAAAAAAAAAATACACAATGAGTTCTTGCATTAAATGTTGGATTTTTGTTTTGCGGTTTTGTGCCATCCTCGGTTGGTCATTTCAATGCAAGAGAACCCTTTGCCTTAGAAAAAAATAAAACAACGTATGTTGTTATTTTAAAACCCTTCGTTGTTGGATGAGGAAAGTGCCATCGAAAAATGTACTATCAAAAAAAAATTGAAATATAGTAAAACGTGAAGTGAATGGTCCTATGTGACACCCCCAGATAAATTGTGGCCCCCCCCTCCGGCATTGAAGTTGCCGATCCCTGGTTGAAGAGTTACAGAAAAAAAAAATGGATGGACCGAAGGTTTCGATAATATTTCCCAACTGGATGAAATAGCACATCAAGCATGCAAAAACACGAAAACCAAAATGTCATTCCCGTGTATATTTCATGAGCTATGTTGCACTTAATGTGCGATGACTGACAAAAAATACAAAGGGAACCCAAAATGAGAAAATGACTTGCACACACATTCAATGAAAAGAGCAATTATCCCAAAGTGTTTTTTTCCTCTGGCTGCCAGCAGAAGCACATTTCCCCCCCTCCTTGGACTTTATTGTGAACTGCGCTAGAGGGAACTTTCAAATGCAAATCATCACCTTCATCGAGAATAATGCAGTTTTATTTTAGTTTTTTTTTTACGTTTTTTTTTATTGCCGCTGCCTCTGTCGTGCTGCAACGTTTTATGTGCTCCGATTCATGCGGCGATTGGACTTTTATCCTTTGGGCACCGATTAGCTCCGTTCCAGGCGGCGGATTTCCTTTCAACATGACACAAAGACGTAATATGGCTCATGCCGAATGAAACGCCAACGTCCCGGTGTCTTACCGGCGCTGTGATCGCCTTCTTTCATTTCGGCACAACCTCACATTTTGAATGGTGGCAGAATGAGCCTTTTTTTTTCGCTTAAGGTTGACATCACATTCCCGGCATTATTAAGAAAAAAAAAAGGCGGTACGATCATTATACTGTCTACTAAAACATTAATGAGAATGTGCCGAAGCGAGTTGAAGCTATTTGCTGGGGACCAACAAAACCAATTGGGAGCCAAGACCTCTTTCTTCGTTGTTGTCCCATTTGTGTCATGCGTTTTCCTTCGCTGATGTTTTTCATTTGACAGAAACAGACTCCTTTTTTTTTTTTTTTTTTTGACCTTGGCCTAGTTCACTCCTTTGCCTGCTTTTGGCAGTCTGGAAAGACATCCAACGCCATGATGCCAAGTCATTTATCGCTATTTCAGTCGTGATGTCGGTTCGTTAATTGGGATTTTAACCCTTGCGAGGGACAGCGGTCACTCCAGTGGACAGCTTATCATGGTATCAGGTGTATGAAAGGGTTGATGAACTTCGCTAATAGGCGCAGGCGGGTAGTGTGGCCCACAAATTATTCTCAAGTAAGAGAACTGTTACTTTGGAATAGTATAAGAACGTAAAAAGTAGTCCTTTGAATAATTACTTGACGTAGTCAGTATATCGTCAATGAAAAAAAAAAAAAAAAGTCACGTGGAGTTATTGTAGGCTGAAATGTTAACCCAGACGAGAGCTTTGCAGATCCGCCTGACTCTATTTGATTGGTCAGTTGGATTGGTAATCAGCCACGATTCTTTCCGACAAACCAAAATCGATCTCAAGCAATTATAAATGGCCACGGATATATTAAAAAATAAATAAATAAATAAAAAAATACAAATTGCAAGTGGAATGTAGCTCAATGGAATGGAATCAAAAGATTGTCCTGAACAAAAATAGTTGTGTACCAAGTGTGTGGTATGAGTACCATCAGTGGTACAGTGGCTCCCTCTAGTGGTACTTGGATTTTTCGGTAACTTAAGTACCGTATTTTCCACCCTAAAAGGCGCACCTAAAAGCCTTCCATTTACTTAAAAGCTCACAGCGCGTCTGAAAATCTGATGCGCCTTGTGTATGGCCATTACGTTAATATTTCGACCCCAAAATAGCTAGCTCCTTGCTCGAGACATGCTGACAACGCAGAGTTCAAACTTAAGGCGATCGGTTTCGCAGTTGAACACGGAAATAGAGCAGCGGCAAGAAAGTTCAACGTTAACGAGTCAAAGTTATAACTTACTGTTGGTTAAGTGAAATAAGTTTTACTGACATCTGATCGTTCTGTTAGCGTTTCCTTGAGCGTAGCTCCATCTAGTGGATGCATTGTAGATTGCGTCATATAACGTCGTGCGCCCAGTGTATGAAAAAAATGACAAAATAGGCCATTCATTGAAGATGCGCCTCATAATCCAGTGCGCCTTTTAGTGTGGAAAATACGGTATTAGAACACTGTTGGCCAACCCGCGGGCAGCATGCGGCGCTGCCATTCAATCAACGGCGCTAAGTACAACAGAACGTACGATGTCAGCCTATCATCAATCCCGTTACTTGATTGACATAC